TTCTTCCAGACCACTCTGGGGGCTCCAGGGAGATTTGTTTTCTTCCCGTAGTCTGTGTTTTCACAAACATGCCGCGCATTCTCATCAGTTCAGTGCCACAGGCACACATCCTCAGTTTAATAATTCATATGCCAACTGTCCTGCCAACTCGCCTTAGCAGCAATGTTGTAAGATATAAACCTAAGCCTGCCTTGGTGGCCTCGCTGTGCACAGTGAATGCGGGCAGGGGGGGTGAGTGTTTTCCCAAGAAAGTGCAGCAGCAGGCTCCTTAAGAGCTCTGTGCCTGAAAACCCCGTGTGGCTCAGAGGAAGGAGGGCTTTGGTAGGCAACAAGAAGTTGGGGGAAGTCCTGATGCTCAAAGGCCAGAGACTACAAAGGAAATCTGGGGCTGTGCTAGCATCTCTGCAGGGAAGGAATTTTTGACTAAAGGATGACTCACTCAGCTTCCCTTGGAGAGGAGGTTAAGTTCCTAAGGATTGGAAGTAAGATAGGCTGAAAAATGCCTCTTCAGTGCTCAGGAGGCACAGGTGTTGGGCTGCAGCCTGAGGCCCCTGCCCAACAGCCTCAGCTCCTGCACCTTCTGCCTGGGCTGGGAGTCCTGGGACGGGCAAGCCCACTCCAGGCTCACTTGCTGCTCCAGCCCGCAGAAAGGCCCACTACACTTCCCGAGTGAGTCCGCATCTTTGGGGGGCGGAGCAGGATTCAGGAGCTGTGCCTGCCCAGTGTCCCCTTGGCCCTGGGTGGACCTCTCTGGAACCCACTGGGCCCAGCTCAGCTGTGTAGTGGTCAGGAGCAGGTCACCAGAGCTTTCTGCAGCTTACTGTTCTTAGCTGCAGAATGGCAGTGATCCCATTCAGCCACATGATAGGGAAGGAATGCAGAAGGTCAAGCAAGGCAGTCACTGGCAAAACGCACGACCGTGCGTAGGGCTTGGCAGGAACCCCGAGGTGGACAGTGCAATGGTTGCACTCTCACTGCACCCCGAGAGCCACACTGTGGGTTCTGCCTACACTGGCCTCGTCTGAGCCACACCACAGCCCTTAACAGCCTCCGGCCAGGCTCAGCTACACAGGCTTCGTGGCACACACACCTGGCTTCCAGGCCTGGCTCGACCTCTCACCTGCGCTGGGACCAGGTACACTCCTAGCTACCTCCAGGTCCCGGGTTTTTCTTATGGTGCTGTCACCTTCCATGGAGAGTTGTCACACAAGGTAACAATGGGTCAGCACTCAGTACAGGTGGTGAATGCTGGAGCTGGAGTTTGAACCCTAGGCTCTTAACCATCATTCCTGGAACATCTGGATTTACACTCTACTAACCAAGGAGCTAACTGAGGACAAGGTCCTTCCTATTTCTGGCCTCAGAGAAGAGCAAAGGGGCTGGACCAGGTGGCCATTGTGGTCTATGAGTCCACATATGTGACGTCTACACAATCTACATTTGTAAGTACTCATCTAGTTGTTGGTTTGATTTTTAAAAGAACAAAGGACACCAACAAGTCATGAGTTTTCAGGGTCAGGCTCACAGCCTGGATGACTGAGGGAAGCTGCAGGGAAGTGTAGCTTGGCCAGTGGGTATCACTGACAGAGCTGCAGTACTGACAAGGGATTGATTTTATTGCTGCAAGAAGAGGTATCAGACCTTTCCTGAGACTCCTATCAGTTCATACTCACCCACATATCCAACCATCTACTCACTCACCTACCTCCATAGCCACTCATCCCATCCACCCACCCATCCATCCCTTTTTATCTATTCATCTTACCAATTGTATGTCTATGTGTTTGTTTACCAGTGAATTCACTGACTGCATCTATCCACCTGGTATTTTCCAGAACTTCACGCCAGGAGTCCAGAGAAGACTCTGCTATGTCTCTTGCTGTCAAAGGCCCATGGGCTGCTTCCGACAGTGAGGAGACACAGAGGAGCACTGCCCTTGTGGAGGGGGGCAGCAGGCAGAAGCCTGGCCAGGGTCTCATTTCCAGTCTGAGCTGCCTGGCAGAGAAACTGAAGGACATCACATGTCTCCCCACCCATCCTGGGCGCTTTCTGGGTATCCTGCAGTCCTGCTCTCCCAGCCTGGTCTGGAGGGTGACTGGACTTTTCTGCTCTGGACTGCATTGCCCAGCTTCTTCTCAGGGTTTATCTGGGCCTCGAAGGGCACCCCCTCAGAGCCTGTGTGTCTCCTGGCCTTGTCTTCAGCATCACAAGGCCAAAGATGCTGCAAGACTGGTTCTGATGGCCAGGAGCCTGGTCCAGACACCCTGACTCAACGGTGGCTTCAGGGTGCCACAGGTTTGCTTTGCCACAGCTGTGTGTGTGACTTCGGGTAAAATCTTTTCCCTCTCTAGTCCAGCTGTCTCGGTTGTCTGTTTACTTGCTTTTTAGCATCTGCATTGCTACAGATGGAATCTTCTTTCAATGGGTGATTTTATTGCTAAGTAACACCATGACTGGACCGCATACTAATTATGTGCCAAGTATTATGCTAAGTACTTTCCACTTACTCATTCATCTCATCCTCACAATAAAAGTATTATTTCCCCCAGGAAATTGGGATCAAATAACTTGAGAGCTAAAGTAACTTGTTTACATTCACATGGCTAGTGAAGGGCTGCACCCAGGTAGTCTGATTCCAGCATGGCAGTGTTAACCCCAGTCCACTCTTGCCAGCCTCTCTGAGCCTCTCACACTCAGAAAAAGAATCATGCAGCCAGGGTACTTTCAAGAAGAATCCAGAAAGACAGGATAGAGGCCTCCCTTGGATGCCAGTGTGGGAGGCATAATGGGACCCTGATGTTTAAGAGGTAAGTGATCCCGACTTGGGTTGTAAACCAAAGACCTCAGTTTCCAAGTGCCTGGTGGCTCTCTGGCCTCACCAGCTGCACCTCTGCTAGATGCACTGGCTGGCTTCTGGGACATGACCCTCAGCCCCCAAGGCAGAAGTGAGATCAGAGCCCTGCCATCCTCTGAAGCTCCTTGTGTAATACATTTCTGCAGAGCCAGCTCCTCAGCTCGGGAGCTCCTATGCTGTAACCAAATGTCACACATCCCAGTCCAAGCCCACCCCAAATGGCTGCACCCATGTGGTTGCCCAAAGGGCCTCCTCTGGGATTTGCCGCACTTCTCTCTCTGCCACATCTGAAGGACAAAACCACCAATGGGATCTCAGTTATTTTAGGAAGGCCTGAAGAACAGAATGAAGCACGCTGATCTGCCTTGATTCTCAAATTGAGGGAAAGAAGACCAAAGTGTCATCACTTCTGGCATCGCCCCCAGGGTTCTCTGTCTTCTGTCTGCACATGTTCTCTGACCCATTTTCTCCCTTTGTCAGTTCTGTCTCCCTGAGTCTGTAGCTCCAGGGTGATTCGGGTCCATGGGCAGCTCAGGCTGCAGGAGCTGCCTCCTGCTCCTCCTCCCTCACTATTTCTTTGTCCCTTGCTGCTCACTTTCAGGCTCCTCCAGTATTCAGGAAAGCTTTGGGTGGCATCCACAGTCTGACCTGATTCTGAAGGCCGTAGCCAGCTCAGAAGCAAAACGGGAGGTCAGTGCACATTCGGAAGGTAAACAAAAAGTTCAGCTGGTCACCCAGAGGTGCACATGTGGCAGAAATGCCCTGCATCTGGTAGCCATAGGCATCTGGAAGCTTATGGGTTTCTCTTCCATCATCCTTAAGCTAATTCATTTTAAAGGGGCAACCTGTTCTTCCAAAACAGGGGGACCTCAGCATGATGAACCGGGGTGGCTTGGCTGAGACAGTGAGGCTGGTTTTACTTACCCAAAACAATACTACTCCTATTAATAACGCCAGCAGATTGCTTGTAAAAACGGCTATGATTAGTCCCCTCTCTGAATCCGTTACCTGTTGTAGCGGCTCCCAAAAGAAGCAATGTCTGTATCCCGCTATGGGATCCTGGGATGCCTCCAGACTGCGTGGGCCAACAGAGTATGGCAAATTAAGGATATGTTAGTTCAGAGCCCAGGTTCCAGAGAGCGGGTGCATATGGGTTCTCTCTCAGAACTCTGTTCTCCAGACTAGCCTGCGGCAGAGGCATGGCCATGCAGAGCAGAGATGAGCCAGCCCAGCAGAGGCTGGGCTAGGCAGGTCTCTCCAGCTGAACCCTGCAGACATATGAGGGAGCCCAGGTACCAGAAGAGCATGATGAGCCCAGCCTTAATGCCAACCCAGGGATTTTGTACTAAACACAGCTGGCACTTGGTATCCACAAGGGACTGGGTCCATGACTGTCAGCAGATACCTAATGTGTATGTTCAATTGCTTATATAAAAAAATGGCATAATATTTGCATAAAACCTATGGAATCCTTCCATAGGCTTTAAATCTTTAGATTACTCATAATACCCCAGTATAAATACTGTGTCAATTGTATAAGGATAAGAAAACGTCTATACATGCTCAGCATACATGCAACCATTGCAAGCTTATTGGAAATTTTTCAGAGTATTTTTGATTCATGATTGGTTCAATACATAATCAGTGCATACAGAACCTGTGTATATTCAGGGCCATCTGGACATAGTTTTAGTTTGAAACACTAAATTTTTTTTTTTTTTGTCTTTTTCCTTTTTATCGGTACCAGGGATCGAACTCACGACTGCCTGCTTGCAAGGCAGGCGCTTATGCTGCTGAGCTAAATCCCCAGCCCCTGAAACATTAAATTTTAATGCTAAGTTTTTTTTTGTGTAGAACAAGCTAACAAGGTATCACGTAAAAAGTTTTTGTATATGTATGTGGGGTCAATTTCAGGACCTAAAAAATAGTAATTTATAATTATCCTCAGTAATAAATAATAATAATTAACAATAATCTTTTTTTTTCTGTTCAAACATTTATAGCAGTTTTCAGTCAAAGAGAACTGAGTCGCTCATCACATGACCATTCTGAGATCTACTGGCAAGGGCCGGGCACTCCCCCACAGGACCCTGTTCAGCCCCATAGCTGGTGCTTCCTCAGGAAGGGTGCAGCAGGACCCACTCACCAGGATCTTAGTGGTATAGGCACTGTTGATGGCGATGGCATTGACCAGCAGCTCCATGGTCTTGGCATTGATGGAGCTGGGGTCGGGGACCTCCTTGTAGTGGACATCGCCCACATAGGCCTGCACCACTGTCATGCGATTGGTGGTCAGGGTCCCTGTCTTGTCCGAGCAGATGGCCGTGGCATTGCCCATGGTCTCACAGGCATCCAGGTGGCGGACCAGGTTGTTGTCCTTCATCATTTTCTGGGAGAAGGGGCAGGGAGAGCACAACGGTGAGAGGCCAAGTGCGAATCGAGGTGCTGGGCATGGGAAGGGCAGTGAGCAGGCGGAGCTGCCTCTGCCTGGGGTCTTCTAGAGGCACAGCACAGCCCGCCTGGCCCTGTGGCCTGCACTCCTCCATGGCTTTCACATGTACAGCCCCTTTCCTCCTCTGTTATTCCATGCAATGTTTAAAAGATTGACTAACTCTTATTTGTTAATTTGAATTACAGAAGCTATCTGCACACTTTGTGAAAAAAAAGTTAAACTAAGGAGGCTGCATCTTCCCGCATTACTTCAAAGGTTTCACTCTTAGCTCAGCATACATGACTATTCTTTGTTTGGTTTCGGGTTTCCTTAAGTGTATCATTTTTTTTTCCTTCCAGTGCCTGGTTTTCACTGTGACTTTAATTTCATCAAAGATAAGTTTAGGTTATTTATGCATTTGGAGATACAGGAAAACAGTTGGAAAAAATAAAAATATGGATGTCATTATTTCTGTGTGAGAGAATTTCAGATTTTTACTGATTTCTTTTTTAAATCTATCGATTTTGTTTTTCTATGATCAGCATATATTATAACTTGTATAACAAAACTCTCAAATTTCTTACACAAAAAGGAAAAAAGAAAAATGAGCCATAAACTAGCACTTGGAATGGATACATCTTGTATATCAAATTCTCTCTTTTTAAATTGATAACAAAATGGAATTTGGATTGTCTTTTTGGACTGGGAATCAAACTCATGACCTTGTGCATGCCAGGCAGGTGCTTTTGTCACTTAGCTCTATCTCTGGCTTTGTTAACAAAATGGAATCCTCCTATAACATTAATATTTTTTTCTGTCTCTTTTCCTTTCTGGCTCAACTTCACATTCTTAGGTCCTTCCAGGTCCTCAAACAAATAAAATTGTTTCTCTGTCTCTCTCTTGTTCCATTTCCAAAGTCTTCTCAATTTCTCTATTTTTACTCACATTAGTATGTATTTGCAGTACATTCTCATGGGAAGTTGGAATGCACACCTAACACATCCTAATTCTTTTACTTCCCTTTCCCTGTCTTTGCCCTCCCTCCACCTTTTGATCCCTTTCCTGTTTGTGAAAGCTCTATCTCCCTGTTGTCTACTGTCTATCTTTTTTGGGTTTTTTTTTGTCTTTTTCCTTTTTATTGGTACCGGGGATCGAACTCACGACTGCCTGCTTGCAAGGCAGGCGCTTGTGCCGCTGAGCTAAACCCCCAGCCCCTACTGTCTATCTTTTAATAAAGCAATTCTCAGGAAACAGTGTTCCTCCTGCAAGCACCCGTCCCCTCCCCTCTGGCAAGTGGGGATGTGACAATTTGCCGAAGGTAGAATCCGATGGATCCCCATCTGTGCCTAGGGGTTTGATTCCCCCAACTCTTCTTCTTCATCCCACCAGCTTATAACACAGGTTAGAGTGGTTTATGTTGCTGGCAGTGTGTATTGGTAGGATTATACATTAGTGCATTTCCCCTTGAGCCCTGTGATAATAGCAATACTAAATGTATGTTGAATCATTGAGCAACAGGCATCTGAACTTGGAACACTCTTTTGCATTTATTTTCTTGTCTGATGTTATAAGGATCCTGTGACATTCTGGGACGCTGAGGAAGGAGACTCTAACGTTTCAGGCCAGCCTGGGGACTTAGTGACATTCTTCATATGTAACTCAGTGTGTGGTCCCTGGGTTCAGTGCCCAGAATGACCAACACCAGACCAGACCAAATCAAACCAAAAATCCTGAGAGGATACTTACAGTCCATTTGGCAATGAGAGAAATCTAGGCAAAGTGGGTTGGCTAGGGCCAACACACCTGGGGAGGCCGGAAGGGGTTCCAAACCCAATCCCACTGGCTCTCAGAGCCTGAACTATCCTGTCTAGCTCAGCCCATCTGAAAAGGGTTTGTCTGTTGGCTTTAAGTTCTCCCCCTTGGAATTGTGTGACCAGGAGGTCACATGCAGCTACTGGGCACTTGAAGTGCGCCTAGTCTGAAGTGCAGGCGTAAAAAATAAACTGGATTGGGAAAACATTACAAAAAAGGGCATGTAAAAGAAACATTTCTGTAATTTTTATATTGATTACATGTTGGATTGATGGTAAGTCAGACATATGCATTGTGAAGCAAAAAAACCCAGAATCTTTAAATTAAAAAAATTAAAGTACAAGACACATTGCAGTAAACGCCTTTCCCCGTGCGCAGCCCCCCACGCACCAACACACTTATCCTAACACTGCTGCCGCTTTCTGAAGCAGTGCTGGATGGCTTGTCCTCTTTCATGGTCACTGTGATTTGGGGAAGGGCAGAGGTCACAGCAGCAGACCTGGTGACCAAGGCGGATGAGGATGTGCCACACGCTTCTGTCCTAGCTCCCTGGGGGATGGCCCTTGGCAGCAGCACTCATGACATTTTTGACTATGCCTTATACACACACACTTGGAAGAGGACTTCTAGGATTACTTTGGAAAGTGGCGAGAACAATGGGATAAGTGCATTTGAGGAGAGGGTAAGTATTTTGAGGAAGATCAATGGCAGTATGTCTTTTACTGGAATAATTTTTAAAAAACAATTTAAGCATTCACCATATATTTTGATCATGCTTCTGTTGCGGTAAGTCGATTGCATTATTAAAGTTAACTTTATCTGTTTATTTTTTACTTTAAAAAAGATGTAGCTGCTGGGAAATGTAAAATGACAAGCGTGGCTCCCACCCAGTCTCCCCAGGGCAGCCCTGAGCGGCCTTAACTGTGCTCAGACGCTTGGTGGCAGCCCTGGGGTCCAGCCTGCCTCTCCTGGGCTGCAGTTCTGTTGTTCCCCGAGCGAATGCATGAGTAACACAACCCAGGCTGATCAAGGGGCTAGGTGCCAAAGACACAAACTGTAGACCCTACTCACAGCCGCGCAGGTGTCACCTTTGCCAGGCCGCGGGCCCCACGAGGAGCAAGGCACTGTGCCTGTCAGGGCTTTGGTTTGTGGGATGGAGTTTCTCTGAGAACCGTAAAACGGAGAGATGATAAGGGCCGTATCCTTTACACATGGCCGCTACCTGCTGGCACCAGCCTGGAGATCTCTTTTCTGTATGGAATTACATCGGCGCCCAGCCCAAATTCCAGCTCGGAAACCAATGCTCACTGAGTCTTCCCTCAGCCTTGCCAATTTCTCAGGGCAAAGGTCTTCTTTGTAAACACTGAGACACACCTTGCAGGGACATCTTGGCATCAGGACACTGGGAAACAGAAGCCCATGGCTCTGCCCTCAAACTGGAAAAGTTGGGGCTAGGGGAAGAAAAGCATGGGTGTGAGAACTGGGGCTAACCAATAGAGCGTCAGAGCACAGGGTTGGGCTCTTGGAACGCAGGTGGAGGTGGGGCTTTGTGGAGACTTGGGGCTCAGGAAAGCCTCACAACCTGAGCTTCCCCAGCAAGTGTTCTTGGGCCTGGAAGCCCTCCATTTATTTGCTTTGAAAACCTCATAGCCTAGACTAGTGGCACACACCAGGAGGCTGAGGCAGGAAGAATACAGCATTTTTAAGGCCAGCCTGTGTTACACAGCAGGCTGCTGCCTCAATCTCCCCCAAACCAAAAAAATCTCCAAACCAAAAAAATTCTTATATTTTGAGCCTATATCCAAGGGGAAAAGGCTTCCATGAAATCAGACCTCCTTTTTGTTTCTTCTTTTATGCTTTAGGGAGAGATCTCTGAGCTTAGTGGTACAAATACTTAGGTGCCTATGCTGGGCTTATATATGGATTCAGTGGATGGGATGGGTTTGGCTCTCATAATGATAACTGCATTTTATTTTAATTTTTTCTGCAGGACGAGGGATTGAACCCAAGACCTTGTATATGTCATGTGAGGGTAGACTATCAAGCCATACGTATGTCCTATTTGATTTTTTAAAGTTGAGTTGACTGTCAGCAAACATCTGGAGAGCTCACACAAGTCCAGATTTCTGGCTTTTCCCTCTTTCTCTGTTTTGTCTTTTGTTGTTGTTTGAGACAGGCTCTCACTATGTAGAACAGGCTGTCTTTGAACTCTATATAGCCCAGGCTGGCCTCGAACTCTCAGGGATCCTCCTGACTCATTTCTGGGATTCTGGGCAAATGCCACCATGCCTAGCCTTTCTGGCTTCTCTGGAGAACACTATGGAGAGTGAGCCACTCTGGGCCTGCGTCCAAACAAGTTGTGCTCGGCGGGCCCTAAACAGGGACCCAGAGCCAGAGTGCGGCTCGATGCTTGCCCAAGGCTTCTGGAGGTGTCTGGGTTTGGGATCTGCTTGTATCTTGCCTCCAAGCCCTGGGGCTTGTCCTTCACTCCCCTTGCCACCCCTGCCCGCTGACAGCCCCTGGCTGAGTGCTGGGCCCTGTGCCCACAGCTCACCTTCACCGAGTAGGCCAGTGAGATGGTGACAGCCAGTGGGAGACCCTCGGGCACTGCGACCACCAGCACTGTCACACCGATGATGAAGAACTTGACGAAGTACTGCACGTACACAGGTGTGCACTCCGGCAGCCACGGCTTCTTGTTTACCACAAAGGTGTCCACGGTGAAGTAGAGCACCAGGATGATCACTGTGATGGCTGACATCACCAGGCCTGCAACACAGGACAGAGGGCTGGGGTGAGGAGTAAGGGTTCCATGAACTAAAACTTGACTCAAGGGCCCTGGGATCAGGCAGACCCCATCCCACCTCCCCATTTCACTATTTCCTTGCTTTGTGACTAGGAATGAGTCCTGGGACCTCTGTGAGCTTCGGTCTCCTTCGGTATGATACGAATTTGCTTTGTGTGGTTTTGCAAGGGTTGGATGAAGTCCAGTGATGCATATAAACAACTAGCCCCTAGCAGGTGCCCTAGAAATCTGTGCTGGGCAAGGGCAGGAGAGGCTGGCACTGTGTGTTTACTTGTTCACTGACATCTATTGTGTGGGGGCTCTGGGGACACAGTGGTAATAAAGCTAGAGTGTCCGTTCTCAGGACCTGACACTTGAGACGGGGAGGCAGTCAAGATCAGACAGACAGGCACAGTAGCAGGATCATCTCAGACATGGAGAAGGGCTGTGAAGGCGAACACCCATGTGAAGAGGCATAAGGTGACTGAGGGTGGTAGGGAGGGGCCACATTAGCCAGGGTGGTCAGGGTACCTTGGTGGAGGTGACATTTGAGCAGATGAAGAGGAGAAGTAGGCACCTGGTGACCTGGGGAGCAGTAATCCAGGAAGGGCAAACAGGAGGTGGCGGCACTTCAGAAGAGGAAGCTGAGGCTCAGATGGGAAATGTCTTGCCCCCGGCCATAGGCCAGGGAGGTGCCATAGCAGTAGGGACACAATCGATGCCCTGCCCAGATCCCCTGGGGTGCTATCTGTAGCTTCAGTGTGTCCATCTCCCACGGGCTGCAGGAGCAGTCACAGGGGCCGGGAGACAGCTCATACCCTCATCCTTTGCCAGAGGAGGACATCCGCCCTATCTGATGTGCAGTGTTCCAAGGGCCAGCTGCATGCTGTATGGTGGACAAGCCCCGCTTCATGATGCATAGTCCAGGGGCCCCAGGGATCAAAACTAGGAGCTGACTCTTGAAATATCTACAGCACCAGCTCCTTCCCCCAGCTAGGACCTCCCCTGAGGGTGCACCCCATGCATCCTGTGCCCCACTATCTCATTTCTGCTTATAGGGCACTCAGCCCAAGGAAGAGGCAGAGGTGGGTTGTGACCCTGGTATAGCTGACTGCCTGCTTCTTTCCAGGCAGGGCATGGTGTGAGGCCAGGCTGTAAAGCCCACAGACTATCGTGGGTTGGCCCCTCCCCACCAGTGCTGTGTTCCCACTGAGCCCTCTGACAGCATGGCAGTGGATGGAGGAAATTCGCACCCCCTCCAGCTGCAGTGCCTCGGAGCCTGCTCTGTCCCTAGCTGACAGTGGCAGGGGCGGGAGACAAGTTGGGAGCTGTCACCAGGCCCCCAGTTTAAATATAGTCAACCAGGCCTATAATTTGCCTCCCTTCTCTATGCTGTGGTGTCTATAATTAGAGCCAGGGAAACAGCCACAGAGGAGGGAGAAACCAGGTGGGGAAACCTTGGCATTTGTCACATCCATGGCCAGGAGAGGGGGTGCTGGTGCACTGAAGGACTGGGCTCACCCTGCATGAGATCAGCACCGTCTACAGCTGCTGCCACAGCTGGAAAGCCTGGTTGTCCTGTGGAGTCCAGACAGTGGGCTCCTTCCTAGGCTCCTGCACAGCCCTTAGCCCTTTTCGATCTGTTTCTGCACTGCAGCTGGGGGAGTCATTATAAGCCACAGCCCACCACGCTGTTCAAACCCTTGTCTGCACCACCATCCTCACGATATTTGTGCTGCCTTGAACATCAAGCCCTGTAAGATACTCCCCTCTCTAGTCACCGAACATGCCAAGTGCTTAGCACTCTGCTTGTGTAACCTCCTTTAACCTCCAGTGACTAGTGTAATAGGGACTAGCATCAGCGTCAGTTTATAGATGAGGACCCAAAGGCTCAGAAGCTACCTGGCCACGTTCTCACAACCACGCTGGACTAGAAGACAAGCAGCCGTGCCACAGCCTGGCTTCTGCTTCACTCCTGCTGTACCAGGTGTTGAGTGCTGGGTGTGGGACCCAGGGCTGGCTCTTAGGACCATCTGCTTGGAGCCCCTCCCTTCACACATAAGGGCCAGCTGTGCACTCACCCGCCTTGCCAATCTGCACAGCCAGCTTGGTGAGCTTGCCCTGCAGCACAGACTTCTCCTTCTTGTGCATGTTGGCCTTCTTCTTGTCATCAGCATCGCCACCCTCAGCACTCTTGAGCGGCTGCATCTCCATAGCGGCTGCCCCATCCTGCTGCTTGGCTGCAGGGACAGAGCACACACGTGCACACAGACACAGGCACAGACACAGACAGACATAGACACAGACACAGACAGGCATAGGTCAGCCTGCAAGAGCACATGGCCCTCACCCTACCTGCCTGGGGCAGTGCCGGCTGCCTGCCTGTGCCTCTCAGGATTGGCACAGAAACCTGGGATGGGACTTGCCTCTCTTAGCTGGACTCTCTGGTACCCATGGCACTTGTCCTGGACCTGGAACCTGAGGTTCCCAGCAGCAGTGAACTTCAGGCCCCTGGGCTGGGGAACAAGGCTACACACTCTACCCTGGACAGTGCCTTGTCTTTTTGCTCATCAAAGAGCTTGGGTTTTCCCAGCATGTTCTTAAAGGTATGCTGTTGGGAGCCAGCAGATGGGAGCAAACAAGGCTTAAAAAGTAGAAGAGGGTGTGCCCACACACAGGGCTGAGCCACTGCCCCAGCCTCTGTGGCCTTTCCAGTGTAGGACTGACTGGAGGGCTTGTGGGCTTTGGGACAGAGAGAAGGCCGGCACTTATCCTACCCGCCCCTCCACCTACAAAGGCCTCAAAGCCTCCGTTTCAAGTCTGCAGTGGAGCCCAGATGCTAGGAGACACGAGCCCAGCAGTGTCCCCTCTCCCCACCAGCAGCATGTCTTTATTGGGCTTGCTCCCTCTTTCACCAAGGACCACAGTGGCACTTTCAAAGATCCCATGGGTGTGACTGCATCCACCCTGGCCCAGGGAGTTCCTGCCTCTGGTTTGGGGCTCAACTTGGTGGGGAGGGCCCTTGGGGACATAGGAACCATTAGTGTAGAGGGTTACCTTTGCTCTGGCTGGTGTCCACATTGCCATCCTGCATTTTACCTACACAACAGAGAATTTTAACAGACAACAGAGAACAGACAGCACAGGTTGGTCAGCACAAAGACACAACAGGCCACAGACACTCACATCACAGACAGTAAGGGCTGAGCTGTGTAGGAGGCTGAGGAGACCTGGAGCGAGGGCAGCCTGGCCACCCAGAGATGCAGGGGCCATCAGCCCTTGGGGCTTGGAAGGGAGGGCTTGTGCAGGGGTGATCTTGGCTCTGAGTGTTTTACAGGTTACAGGACAGTATCTGAGGAGGAAGGGGCCAGTCTGCTGTGGGAAGGCGAAGGAGAATCCCAGGTTCTCAAACCAGCCTTCCATGGTGGATTAGGCTGGCATGCTTGTGGGTGGAGAGAAGCAAAGAGAAGCTTGTTCAGCTACTTCTTTTTTTGTTTTCATATCAAAGAAAAATGAAAACACCTTAGAGAAAGACAGAGAGAGAGAGAGAGAGAGAGATGCTCTAGAATGGAGAGAAGTGTGAAGGTGTACATGAGGACAATGTATTTCTTTGTTTCTGGGACCAGGAGGGATGATGTCACTTTCTCTGGGTCTCTCGTGGCATGGAGAACCCCCCTGTAAGGTGAGGGGCTCCCATCTTGGGGCCTATGCTGCCTAGTGTGGGGGCAGGGTTGAATCTGGAGCTCTCTTCCTGCAGTGAGGGCTGCCCAGAGCCCCTGCCCACTTCTGCCCTGAGGTCCCTCCCTTCACTCACTGCCTCCTTTGGGCCCTGCCACCTCCAGAGGTCTGAGCAGGTCAGCCACCTGGATGCCTTCTGCAGTCCCACCAGCTGCTGAATCCTGCCAGCCTCCACGAGCTCATATGATGCCTGCCTCAGTCGCTCCGACAGACACTCTTGCCTGCACCCATTAACAGGTGAGAATCTGAGACTCCAAGAGCAAGTGTCCTGCTTCTGTCTTGGTTGGGCAGAGCACATGGCTGGCCCCAAAGTGTGGGCATGTTTTCACTCTGCTTTCCGTTCTCCAGAAGCCTCTCAACTCAGAGAAAGGCCCTCGGGAGAAGGCTGCCAGGCAGGTCACCCAGATCTCAACATCAACTAGCTGCGTGGCTTCACCTTTGCTGGCCTCAGTTTCTACCTTTGTACAACATTCTGAATGCTCGAAGGTGCCTCTCTAATTACCAATCTCATGGCTCAGCCTTTGGCTGTTTATGTGGGTCATTAGCCTCTGACACCTCATGTGGGTCTCTGCAAGGTGGGGCAGGAGGATTGTTAATACTGCCACCTTACAGAGCAGGACACTGAGGCCAAGGGTCAGTCAGAGGCAGCTTGCACTCATGGAGCAGCCTACAAGAACGCAGAAGAGGCTCAGGAATGAGCAGGTTTGCCTGGACTGCTCAGCCCTTCCTGCCCAGTGTCCGATGACTCTGTCCCTGCTGCTCTTCTAGCCTGGGCTCACTAGTCCACCCAAGTGTTTAAAGAAAGATCTTTGCTGTTCAGTTGTGAAAGTCTGTTGGATTTCAAAATGGTAGGGAGAGAACTTTTTAGAGCAAACAGGAATGAATAACTATTATTATTATTTCTTAGAATAATTTTGCTAACTAGGCTAAGGGGCATGAGAGGACTTGGCTTCAATAGTCTGTTTTTGAAGGCTCATAGGGACCTTTATTTGCATTGCATATTATCAGATGTGCTAGCTGGTATGCGCGCCCATTAGCCCTAGCTAGCAATTTCTTCTTTTATTGTCATAGTGATCATGTGGCCAGAAAAAAAAAAATCACCAATGCACATGCTGGAGGAAGGGAGCTTTGCTCTGGGACTGCTTCAGCATAGATGGCCTGATTTCTCAGAAGCAAAGGGCTTTAGTTTAGGGCTCTTCTTGGTCAAACTGGTACCTGCCCAACCTGCACCATGGCGGGCCCAGGGGAATGGGAAGTGGCACGAAACAGATGGGAGCTGGGGTGTCAGAGGTCCTTCTCGGATTTTAGGGGCTGAGCTCCCCATGGGTCTTTTCACGTGCAGTATCACGAGGGGCAGAGATTTGGGGGAGTCCTATAAGGTGACTTGTTTGACAGGAAATGTTACTGCTTTTCCTCTGCCTCCTCTTTCTCCTTTGAAATGGGGCCATGTCAACCCAGGTGATGCTCATGCGACGTTCCTGTGAAGTGCTATGTAGATGCTGGGCATTCATGTGACATGCACTGACCGTGTTTACAGATGTGACTGCAAGTGCTATATGAATAGTGACATGCAAATACATGTAAAAGAAAGCAGTAATAATAGCAATCACTGGAACACACCCAAGGAGGGGGACACTGTCACCTGTTTTGTTTCCCAGTATCTAAGTCATCAAGTTGCAAGGAGGGGATGCTGCACTGAACTCCCTCTCAGTGGCCTGATTCAGTCTCATGCCTCTGAACTGTTAATGTGTTCTCTCCTGGAGCCTGAAAGGTTTGTTCAAATTCGGATTCTCATTTAGTTGGTCTGGAATGGGGCATTTGTATTTCTGACAAGCTTTCAGGTGGCACTTTGGCAGTGGCTCCTCTGATCACATTTTCGGTAGCAATGGCTCAAAGTGCTGTTTCCTAAAGTGTATAAAGGGGCATGCCAATGTCATAGGGTTCTCTCAGGAGAGGTCTTGCTGTCACATCAGCCCGGAGTCATCGGATCACTGATCACTTTCCAGTCCACACCAGCAAGCTCCAGCTCTCAGACGAATCACCTCAGCCCAGTGTTCTCTGACATCTCTAACCACAGGTCCTTCCCCAGAAAGAAACCTCTTCATTTCTCTGCAACACTTACAAGATGCACCAGGATGGAACGTTCTGGATCAGGAGGAGGAGCACACACTTTGGAGCCAGCTGTCTGGGACCTGCATTTAAATCGCAGCTCTGCTGCTTTCTAGCTTAGTAACCTTGGCTAGTGTCTTGCCTTCTTGTGCCTCAGTCTCCTCATCTTTAAAGTGGCCACAACACAACCTGTGACATGGGGCTTCACAAAGTTTAAATGAATGGAGAGAGTCTCTTGCAACAGCGTCTGGCAGATAATATGTTGTCAAGGAATAAAAGTTCCTCATCTTTCCTGAGGCCTTGCTTGGGATGCTGTGGCTTGGAAGCAAAATTCCCTTTTTTCTGGAACTGGCGGCTGGGCTGGTATCTGTGTGCTTCACTTGGGGAAGCAGGTGACGCTTCTTGGTTCCTCCTCTCGCAGCCACAGGTTTGCTCACAGTACTCTCCCTGTCTTCACCTCCCTGACACAGGGTGCCTCCCACATCCCAACTGTCCTCCTTTCTCCTCCTGGACTTGAAATAGTCCCACCTCAGATTAGCAAATAGCGTGCTTAACCCAGCTGTCCTCAAGGTCCTTCTGTCATTTTTCATTTTCCACTGTGAAGGTAGGAGGTCTGGCCAGAGGGCTGGCGCAGAGGATGGGAAGCCGGGGCAGCACGAGGGTCTCCATGTTTTGCAGAAGTGGTGAGGGGTGCATGATGTAAGGGTGAGGGTTCTGCAGCCCAGTGCTTGGTAGGCAGCTATGTGGGGAAACAAAGACCTGTTGGCGTTTTGGGATAGCATGCTTGTGTCTTGGCCCTAGGGCTCTGAATGGCTCCTGAGCAGCCTGAGTGACTATCACATTATCTAACTTGGTGACAGGGATGGTGTCAACAGAAGCCTGATCTGTTGCCTAGATGATGGGAGAGTACAGAGATCAGAAATCAGAGGCTGGAGGCAAGAGCATGGAATTCTTGATTGCCTGTACACAGTAGGGTAGGATGCAGACACTTAGGGATACTGGCAGCCCTGCCCCCACCCATCGCCCAAGGAGGGAGCAGTGAGAATGCAGAGACCCACAGATGCTCAGAACAGGCAACAGCCAGAGACCAGTCTGCACTCGAGGCTGAAGCCCAGGTCACCCTGGGCTTGCATGCTCAGTGAAGGACAAGAGGAAGTAATGTCTCCTGGTGGCTCAGCCAAGCTATGGGGTGGGCCGAGGAGTGGAGCGGCCTGGGTCCCCTGCCTCCTGCCTCCGGGAGATTTTAGTGGAAGTTGGGAACCTTCACTGGGATCTACAAGCTGGTTTCAGCTCAAGTCCTGACCCCAGGTCATCTTTCAGAAGCCAGAGCAGAAGTGCGCTTAGGGGAGGGCCATGCTGGACCAGATGCTGCTTCTTGGAGCCAAATATGAAGCCAGAGCCATATTCATTTTGGAGCTCCCTAGGGGTCTAGAGCCCAAGCAGAGCCAGCATATTTTTGGTAGCTGGACGTAGCCCTGGTGAGTACCAGGCCACGGCTCCACCCTTAAGCATCTGCTTCAAGTGAATGGGTGGCTGTTGGGGCGGCCATGCATGTCTAAGGTCTGTGAGGTCCAGAAGAGGTAAATAAAGCCCAGACTCAGGGTGGAGGAGAAAGATCCCATCACCCATACCCGAGAGAGCTCGCCACGGAGACGTACCATTGACTAGGCTGGCATTTGCACTATCTGCAGCATTTGAAGCTGCTGCACCGTCTGCCGCTGGAAATTGGGAGGGATGGAAAATGTAGTGTCACAATGAGAAAAACAATAACCACAAAGACATGAACCCACCAGCAGGGACCATACCACTCTAGCCTCAAAACCAAACCTCTGCTGGAAACCAAGAAACTCAAATGAAGAAGTGAAATGTTCCCATGGAGATGCCAGGGATAAGGGAGGGGCGTTTGGACACGGAGCTTAGGAAGAAGCATGGAGGGTGATGGGGGATGGCACTCTCCTGTCGAGGTCTGGATATGCTGGACCAGCTGGTCAGGTGGGTCCCCACCAGAGCGACTGCCAAGAGAGTGCCTGGCTGCACTTTGGGGGACTATCCTTGACTGGGAGTCAATGCAAAGTGTTCAAGGAAGGGCACAGTGGGGGTCCTGAGCACACATTAAGAAGTGTGCTCTGATCACCATCATACCATGTCAGGGTGCCCTGGGCATCAGCTGTCACCCGTGATGGCTCAGGATTATGTCTTCAAGTAGGCTACTACCTTCTGAAACCTCCTCCTTCCCTAACCAGCACCCTAAAGAGCACCCTGGCAGCCTCCAATTGGACATTTCACCATCTAAAAGAGGCATCAGGCATGTTGCTTTTGGCATCCAGGAAAGGCCCCAGTGCCAGCCCCTTCATTTGGTACTTGAGAGTGTTGAGGCGGTACATGCAGTCTGTTTTTCTTCCTCGGTATGGGGGCCATGTGAGAAGGGGCCTGTGGGGAAGGGGTGTTACTGCACCCAAAGACACACTGTGTGGCTTGTGGGGGAGCTAGGGTGAGCTCCATAGGGTGCTGGTGGAGGTGCAGGGTTGGAGTGTGAGGAGGCTTTGCCGGCTGTGCTCAGGGCCAAGGGTGTCAGGCAGTACTGGGACATTTGGTGTTAGCTGGTGGGGTGAAGCCCTGGAGGGGTTGGAGGGCAGAGTGGGTGTGGCTTGTCCTATTGGGCTGGTACCACACAGGGCACAGAGGGGCAGCTGGGGGCCTCCTCCAGCTGGGTTCTGGTCCCCAGGGGCAGGGCCTCGTGGGAAAGACTGAAGCTGTTCCTAAAAGCCCCGTCTACCAAGAGGGGGGTCTTACTGTACCTGGTAGCTGAAGGCCATCCCCCTTCTTCACACCTGTGTGATGATTTTTGAGACATGTTAATGAAGGAGAAGCACATAAGGCCACATCTGCCCACAAACACACACATGCACACTCAGCTACACATCGAGCCACCCTGAAATGAGAGCATGCAGTTGTCAGGCTCTGAGCTACGTCATCCCCGGGACAGACAATGGGATGGGAGGGAAGATGGGCCTGATCCCTGCTGAGCTGTGCACAGTGGCCTGAGGTACTGGGCCACTTCCTAGGTTCCTCTGCACATCCCCGTCATGCCTCCTTCTTCCACGCGACTTCGACTTCGGTGGAATGTATTTAGCACCTGGTGGCCTTGACTTGCACTTCTGGGGCAGCTGAGGATAGTCTTTCTTACTAGTATTTCTAAAGACAATGGACTGGCCTTTGCAGGTTTCTGTCTACCCCTGAGGTGGGCCCCAGAAAGACAATGGAAACCTTATCTAGTGTCCACATCCTTTCTGACCTCTTGAATCTGCCCCGCTGCCTGCAGATGGTTGCAGTGTGGGGACTCTGTCCTGATGTCCCTTCCTGATCAGACTCCTCTCCATCAACCCCAGCACCCTCCCTCTCCCCAGCTTGATTTCCCAGACAGCTCAGCAGCCTTGTTCTTGCTGGGGATGGAGCCATAGCCATAATCTTATGGGACCCTTTAGGGCAGTCATGGTGAATCCTTGAGAGATGAGAGCCCAACTGCAACTTGGAACCCCTAATTTATTGCAAAGTGCCAATACTGCCATTAAACCTGAATACCAAGGGTTTAGTTTAGAAAAGCAATCCCTACGGCCTGTAGAGTCATTTCAGAGATGGCTCTGCCTCCTGCTGCACTTTCAGTCCCACTGCACTAGGAACTGGGCTTTGCCTCAGGAACAGGCTGCCTCACACGCTGACCCTGGCTCTGTACCTGAGTGACCTCTGGACTGGAGGTAACAGAGCTGCCCCTGAGCCTCAGAGAGAGGCCATCTGTCCTCTGCCCACCTTCCAGGTCCCTGGGGTTCTGGGTGTGGAATCCCCCTATGGAGCCTGCAGTAAGAGACAGAGCTTGGGCAGGTGGACAGAGAAGCTCCCTAAGCCCAAGAGTGGGTGTCAGGTGAGGAGCCTGTCTCGATGCCTGAACCCTAGACTTGGGATGGGATTGGGGCGTCCTGCACAAGCATTTCTCTTCTGTCCTTCGAGGCAGGACTTTGGAGAGACCCATGTGTGTAGAAGGAGGGCTTTTTTCCAGTGGAGAGGAGGGACCAAAACTCAGGCAAAGTAGAAGGTCCAGGGGACTACGAGGGGGGATGTCAAGCAGTGCATGTGGAACCAGGCTTCTGGTTGTCTTGCAGGAGTCTCCCCTGCATATAGCGAGGCTGTGTGCGTGCTGGGCAATAGAGAAGGAGATTTTACTCCCTAGCAGTGCACTGCTGAGACCAGGTCCTGTGGGCTGTTCCATGCTGAGACTAAAGACTCCACAGCCTGCCTGGAGGGTAAGGAAGGGCCTCCAAGACACAGCTGGACAAGACAGAAACCCGGACAAGACCCTGAGATGAAACATACAGAGCCACCTGGCCCTGGTAGGGCCTTCAGGATAGAGGAGAGGCTGTTGGCACAGGGTGTAGACAAAGAAGTCGCTCAATAATTAGGTTTCAGAGTGGACCAAAAAAAGAGAAACAGCCTTAAAAAGAAGTGCCGCTTGTGGCGTGAAGAGGCGAGCTTACCTTTTTTGTCTTTCTTTTCTTCCTCTTCGCCACCGGCTCCCAGCAGCGTAAAGATGATGCCAGTCTGAGAGTTCACACCCACGGCAGTCACCACCATCCGTCCTGAGCCCTCCATCACGTGTGTCCCTGCGGAAGGGCCACAACCTAGCTACCATACTGTGGTGGAGCAGGAAGAGCAGCTTCTCCCCAGCCCCCAGCTCCCAGCTCCCAACCGCAGCAGCTGGGGGTGCTCCCTGTGTAAGGGCAGTGCTGGGATGGGCCTGGGGTTGAAACACTGCTGCCCTTCAATTCTCAGCCTCCACACAGCTCCAGGGCCCAATGGGCCATCCATCCTGGAACCAGAGTGGCGTTCCCTCTTGTCTCTCTCTCCTTCCTCTCCATCTGTGCAAGTGGATAGGGGAATGGGTTCATCCCAACTGATCATACTTAGAGTCTGCTTAATTCTGCAATCAGGACAGCAATGCTAAGCAAAAGCTACACAACCCTGCTTTAAATAGGGTCCAAAAAATCTGGGAGAAGAATTTAGGGATCCATAAATGTGGATGAGAAAATAATTACATTTTTATATTTTTCACAAGTCTCTGGCTGTAATTTAGTACTCTCTCCCCACTATGCATGTAGGCAACAAACTCAAGGAGTGTTCTCAATACCGACGATGTCACAGTGTGCATGATAGTCCTGGATGGTCACATCACTGTGTGGCATGAAACAGTCTAATGCTCACCCCTGTGTTACCACCATGCTGGTCATTACTGCCCAGTAGACTGTATGGTGTGACCACCAAGAAGCACTGCACCACACCTTCCATTACTTTATTTCCACATAATTGGCTTAGTCATTCAGTGTATTTAATTTTGCATACTTGAAATTTTGAACAGGAGTAGCGCATGCCAACATCTGTCTTCTCTGGCAATTAAGGGCTCCTTTGATAGACTTCTAGGTTGCTCAAAGTGGGCTGGGAAGGTCTCCGAATTCTCTGAAGGTACTGCAGGGCAGTCTGCCCACATAGGGCTGAAGGGCTCTACTTTTGTTGGTTTCTCTGTGCGCTTTGGGTGTCAACATGTGCCGGATGAGTCTGCTGCTATTGGAAAGTGGGCCCCTGTGCTGCATTGGCTGAGTGAGCCGGCTGAGCCCATACAGGCTGCGGCAGGGTCAGGATAGAATTCAAAGGTGGAAACGTGCATCTGTGTCTACATTGGAGACCATCCTTAAGGGAATTCTGACAGGGCCATGGCAGGGGTTAGCCTGAGGGCATTATCTGTGTGGTAGCAGCTATCACAGAAGGACTGTAAAGACACAGTATAACTCAGTTGCCTCCTTGTCTTCCAGTTTGCTTCAGACTTGGGGCCTTGGTCTGCAAACATGGCAGCACAGTCTCTACGGTAAGAGTCAACATATCCTGCCTAGGCCCAAAGTGCTTGCCTTTTCCAGGGTACCAGCTTGCCCACCTGGCCCTCCCAGGGACTGAATATGTCTCGGGATGAACACATGCACGCCTGCGTGTGTGGCACACTAGCATCTTGATCTCTAGGGTCTCGGGATCTGCAGACAGACAGATAGCTCCAGTGAGCTCTTGAAAGCAGATAGTCTGCTTGTCTACTCACTGATGGGGCACTACACTAGGAAGGCTCCGAGGACCAGGAAGCCCACAAGCTGTCACAGAGCCCAGGTTCTCTGATAGTCGACTCGTTGGAGGGTACAGTGGGGACACTGAGTGGCCTGGGCTGGTAGCCTCCCATTGCAGGCAGACCCCAGCACCACTCTGCTTTATGAGGCCCAGGCCTGGGACCCTGGTCCTAACACAACTCCTGACAAGAGCTTTTCAGGGTACCAGTTCGGCTCAAGTGGGGCTGGGAGAGGCACCATTGAACCTCCTCATAACACAGAGGAGGAATCTGGTGTCACATAGTGCAAGGCTCCTCAGGAGCACAGAGGCTACATTTCTGGTGAATGCAAGGAAGGCATAGCAGTGCCCCGGCTAACTTTGGAAGCACCTCCTGAGCCCCAGGCAACATGCTGCTGCCTGGGGTGGTGACCTTGCTGGGAGCTTGCATAGGCCCTCAACGAGCAGCAGGCTCGCCTGGCAGAAGAGGCGGCTCCTCATGCTTTCGCTGGTGGGGGCAGAGCAGTGCCTGAGCTCTGCTGCCTCTTGCGCCTGGGTCTGGGCCACACTACACTTTGCCCAGGAGATGAGGTCGCAGCACCTGGCCTCAAACACAGGTGTGAGAAGCTGGCTGGAAATGAGGCCCCGATGGCCGCAGGGAAGTTGCTCTCTGCCTCTGCAGCAGAGAGGGTGGAAAAAGGTGTGGGGGCCAGTTTCCACCCCAGATAGTGGACCTCGAATGCCTTCCAATCTGATGGCTCCTGTCGTGGTGGCAGCAGAGAGCTGGCAGCTCTCCCCTCTGAATTCACAGGCAGGGCAACAGCCTGGGGAGCACTGGATGGGAGGGGGACCTCTGCTCTCATCCTCTCCCTGGCTGCCTTCCGCATCCCCTCAGTATCCCTGGGCACCACTGGATCACTGTCACCTGACATCTTCCCTGAGGGTTAGCACGCTTGCAGAGGGGTGAAGGATTCAGCCAGCACCCCTAAGGGACCCCAATCTTTTACTGGGCTCTTCCCACTGGCTCCTGCTGCAAGGTCTCTGCTTGGGCCACTCAGTTCACTGGTCTTTTTGCGCAGTGCACGCCTTGGCCCAAGGCCTCCACCAGTTGGATGCCCTCCCCTCAGCCCTGCTTGTTCTTCCGCTTGGAGCCCCCAACTCCCTCTGGTCTGGTCCGGTCTTTCTGGGCTGTGCCCAGGCCTGGTTCCCTGTACCCATCGAGGACAGGGCCTGAGTGCAGTCTCCTTTCCCCTCTATGGCACTGTGTTTGGCTTGTGGCTGCTGCTCCCGCACTGCCTCCTGTACTCTCCTTTTCTGCGTTCTCCTGAGCATATGTGGCACCCATAAAGGAGGGCAGCGTCCCCCATAAATCATCCTCACAGTCACTATTGTCCTGGCTGGGCCCTTCTCCATTACCTCCCTGAATTGCACTTGGGCCTACAGTGGGACCCGAGGACCAGCGTGGCTGCCCTCTGCCAGAAGAAGAGGGGTGGTGCAAGCATCTCCCCAGCCAGCTCCAAGCCACCTGGCTGCAACAAAAGGTTCACCGGTGAGACGTCAGCAGCTGCCTCTGTCCAGGGAAAACCATGAGGTGTGAGGGCAGGAAGCCTGCTCGGGTCACCCTGCCTCAGGTGCAGCACTAGCAAAGCCTGTGGCCCAGATGACACGCTCCACTACCACTATAACGCAGGGTCCCAGACACTGGGAGAGCCTCCCTTTCCACAGCCCTGTGAAGTAGCTTCTGGCGCAAACACAGTCCCAAGCCCCTCTGCCCACCTGTGGTTTCTTGGGCTCAGAGAGGTTGAGTGGTGGCCCACTCAGGGTCATACAGCTGGGAGTGGTGGAGCTAGAACTTGAACCAGTGCTCTGTCCACTATACCCTGCTGCCTTTCCTGGAGAAGAGGCAAGGCATTGTAGTGGAGAGAGTGCAGGCCAGCAGCAGACCAGGCCTTTTGCAGTTATGGTGTCGTCCTACGTGGCAATGGCGGACGTCTGCTAGCTGCTTGGCCTGGCCTTCTATTTGCGGGGGTGGGAGGTAGGCACTGGGATGTGGCTGGGTCCCCAAAGAGGTTACAGCCTTGTACTAAAAATGCTTGGCTGGCGAGGAGGAGTCCAATGGGGTCCCTGGAGCTGACCTTGCTGCTTTCAGCCCTTGCCTTCCTGACCCCAGCCCTCCACACACCCTGACAGTGTCTGGTTGTTTTCCTCCCAGCTGAAGTCACTGAATGGTGCTTCAAAGAGGCCGTGATGTGGGTGACAGTGTCCACACACCGTCCTCGGAGGTGTGGGAGGAGCCGTGAGCCGGGGTCTCACTTCAGCTGTGCCTCCTCTGTGTGGCTTATATCTCCTGACCTGGGTCTCAGTTTCCCCAGCTTCAAAGTGGGGCACAACTGGGGCTCTCTGAATCTCTAGAATGCTGCACACTCACGAGCCTGGGGCATCTTTTCTTATAGGGAGGACCGCAGCTCTTGGGATGCTCAGGAGGTCGAGACACAGGTTCGTTAAAAAGCCCTGGCTCCATGAAAGACAAAGAGTCAAGAGCTGCTCTGCATCAAAGGAGACCAGAGAGGTGTGGATCCAGGAGCCTCAGCAGCCCCGCACGTCTTCATCCGGGGCAGGATATGTGACTATGGATGGGCCCTTTGGGATGAGGGTATGTCAATATCGAGCTGGCTAAATACTGTGAGATCCCGCCACCCTTAGGAGACACACCTGTGCCCAAGGCCCCAAAGGCCACCTGTTTAATGGGGAGAGGGAGGGGTGACTGGAGCTGCAACAGAAGGGAAGATGCGCACAGGCTCCCTTGTTCTACCTGGGTCACTTTTCTTCAAGTGTAAAGTTATCTTAGAATCCATTAAACAATAACCCCAGGCCAGGGTTTGCATTGTAGGGTATACACACACACACACACACACACACACACACACACACACACACGCACACTGCTTTGCCTGTGGCAACTTTAAAAATATTGGAATTCTGGTTCAGCTCTTAAGTCAGGAGGTGGGCCCATGGCCATCTCTTCTGAGTGGGGTCTATGGTTGCAGGCAGAGTGGGAGCACCTGTGCTCATGCCTTGATGCCCATGCTCCCTGCAGTGGCATCTATGGGATCTGGCAAGGCTGAGCAAGTCCAGAGGCTGTCTCCATCTTATGGGCCCTCCAGTTGGCTGGCTCCTTCAAGACCAAAGCCACTGACGTGATGTGGGTTCAGGGGACAGCTGTGGCACCTGGCATTGCCCCCTGCTCCTGAGCTAACTGCTGGCCTATACCTCCAGGACACACTGGCCACCTGTGGGATCTAGAGCACCTGGCTTTGTGCCCAGGGCCCCTGTCCCCACATCAAGGCCTCATGGGGTTGCAGGCCTGAGCAGCCCAGGGCTCCCTCTGCTTCCTAGTGCCTCAGGGTTTCCGTGTCCCTTTCCAGACACACAGCCTCTCCTTGGCAAGTAGCAGAACACAGAGCAGTGAGGAGCCCCTAGGGCTCCTGACTCCCTCAGAAACTTTGGTTTCTGTTCTGGTTTTGGCTAAAACAGTCTATTCTTGGTGTCTGTCTTTGGCATTAGCTGGAATTTGGTGCCCTGTGCCCTATCAGTCCTCCTGTCCCTGACAGCCTATGGCTTATCCTCAGCTCTGGCCGCTTCTGCTCCTCTTTCCCATCCAGGGCTATCTGCCCCTATGTGTCCCCCAGCCTCAGTCTGTAAAGCCACCAAGCTGGTGACTCTAAACACTTTCTCTCTCCAGCCTCTGCTAGCATTATGTCCTCTGTCCCCTTCTCCACACTGTCTGGAACCTGCACTGCTCATCAGCATAGTATGGCCTCCTGTGGTTATGTGCAGGTTGGATGACTCCTCTGGAAACTTTCCCAAAGATGCTTGCTTTTTGGAAACCATTTCATTCCGGAGGTCAGGACCAGGGCCTAGGGTGGCAACCATCTCTAACTCTCATGTGGCCCAGTGTTCCAGGCAGGCCCCCGAGACTATCTGCATCCCTTGGCCACACCTGGGGACCATGCACTTTGTGCTCGATGGTTCACTGCTGGGACCACTCTTCACTTTTTTCACGTTTCAGCTCAGAAGCAGCCTCATCAGACAGGCCTTCCCTTGCCAGCGCAGGGCCCTTCCCCTGCAGTGTGTCCTCATCTGCTCCTTTACTGCCAATTTCCTTCAGTGTGGCAGGGACCTGGCTTGTCCCATTTGCCACCAGCACACAGGATGTGTTTGATCAAAAGATGTTGGTTGCATAAATTCTGGCTAAATAAATGCCAAGGCTGGTTCTCACTCCTTTCTACTATCCTCCCTGCAGACTGCATATGCACAAGACAGTCCACACTCTTCCAGGCCTCTGGGCCTTTGCACGCAGCTGCTGATGCGAGGAGAGGCTTTTTTCCACAATTGGACTTGGCAACTTCTACCTAGTCTGTAAAACCCAGCTCCACACTATCTCTTTTGGGAACTCTGCCTCCTTCTTGGCTTCCTCACAGCACCTTCTTTCACCTCTACCCTGGAATTAAACACCTGTGTGTCGGTCGCTCCTCAGCCTGGGGCTTCATAAGAGCAGGTGCTGAGTCTGACTCAGACTGTGCTCCGAGGAGGACGTTTGCTGAGTATGGCTGGACAGAGGCTGGGGCTTCACCCCAACCCCTGCAGTAGCCAGAGTAGGCTTCTAAAAATGCAAATGCCATCAGCTACTGCCAAAACCATCCCAGAAGCTGGGCGCAGTAGTGTGCAGCTATAATCCTAGCATAGAGGAAGGGGAGGCAGGAGAATTGTGAGTGTGACCCCAGCCTGTGCAACTCAGTGACACTCTGGTTCAGCAAAATGAAATGAAAACAACAATCACAACCACCAAGCAGCATTCTGGAGAGTCCTCATCACACTCTGAATTATTCTTGTATTCCTGGCCTCGGCCCACAAGGCCTGATCTCTGGCCCCTCTGCCCTTCCATGTTGCTCGAGGTCCTCTAGCATGACCCTGCCTTGGGGCTTTGCTCCCACTATTTCCTCCCTTGAGCAATCACAGTCTGGCGCCTTCTCCTTACACTGTTGCACCCTTGCTCAACACAACCTCTCCCAAGAGGCTTTCCCTGATCTTCCAGGACTCCTGCCCCATTTGGTCTGTTTTCTTAGTACACTGTCACTTCCGGAACTTTCCCGCTGCCTCTCTCTGGTCACTGACCACAAGGTCCTTGGGACTGAGTCTCACCCAGTACCACCTGGGGCTTGGTGTATAGTGCTTTTCCACACAGACTGTCACCTGATTCTTTCCCGTTCCCGATGAGAGGGTTTCAATATTGGGCTTTTCAGTAAACAGAGTCACTAACAGGCAAGTTCCAGGGGTGGGGGTCCTGTTTATCTTATTCACTGTAGGATTCCAGACCAAGCAGGATTCAGTGTGCTGCTCTCACTGGGGGCTGAGCTTCCTGAAGTTCCAAGGCCAAGGGCAAGGGATTTGAAGGGCCGCAGCTCACCTGATAGCAGCATGGGGTCCTTGTCCACAGATTTGCGCACCTGGTCTGACTCCCCGGTCAGGGAGCTTTCATCAATCTTGAGGTCATTGCCTTGGATGAAGAGGCCGTCAGCAGGGAGGAGGTCGCCTGGAGGAAGGAAGGAAAGGCAGAAGTCAGTGGTCTCAGGGACCGAGAGGTGAGATGTCCCCTAAAGAAATGATCGTGAGGGAAAGTTCAGCAGGGAGAATCCGACCCTCAGAGCTCCTGGGTGCAGGAACCAAGATGGTACCCTGGCAGCTACAGATGGGCCAGGTGAACGGAACAAGTCTGGGGACTGGGCTGAGGCTAGGCCTAATCATAAACCAGGCATGTACTTCACAAAGTGTTTTCCTGGTCTGGCTTGGATTTGGGACTCACTTTCCCTCTTTGGTGCCAGTCTATCCACTTTCTCAAAGATAGTGGGTCATTCACTTCTGATCCTTTAATCACCTCCTGTAGCCCAACAATCCTCTGTGCATCGCCAGATGAGGAGTGGAGAATTTCACCTTAGTTTTCTTGTGAGGAAGAAGGCCCTGGAGTGTGGTGTTGAGAAGGCACTGGTGGCTGCTCCCAGCTCTGAACTGTGATTGGTTAGCAATGTCTGCTGTGGGTGAAAGCTGGAGCACTACTACATGATTTACATAATTTCCATTTAAAGGGTATAATGGTTGATACATTGTGTCACCTTGGGAAATTTAAGTTTAACAAAGGGCTTCAGCAGGGGGCCAGGGCCCTCACTTTGTAAATGTCTTCATCCTCTGAAAGAGGAGGACACAGAGATTTTGTGAGTGCTACATCCCTGAGGAGGTGGCCTGCTTACAGTATAAGAGGAGAAAAGAGGCTCGTATCCCCATCTCTGCTCTTGCTGATTTTGCTATCTTCTGCTGCCTCGAACTGTTGCCCCTGGGCCGTGCCACCCTGCCTTGGAGCCAGCTGATTATGGATTGAAACCTCCATAAACTGTGAGCTAAATAAATCTTTCCTCCTTTAAAGTTAGGTGTTGGATATTTTGTCCCAGAAATGAGAGAAAAGTAACCAAGACAAATGGATTCTGGAGTCCTATCTCCTCCAGGCAGTGCCTGCCACTTTCTAAAGTGCTTCAGAACATCCGCTTTCAGGGATACACTGTTCCCTGGGCCAGCTTTCCCACAGCTGCCCGGCCTGTACTCTCCTCCCAGGCTTCCATGCTAGAGGATGGCTGTAGCTGGGCTACTTACCATATTTGATCTGGGCGATGTCTCCCACCACAATCTCAGCCACAGGGATCTGGACCACCTGGCCAGCCCGGACCACAGTGAACTTCTGCTCCTGCTCGATGCGGCTCTGTAGGCCTCGGAATTGTTTCTCTTTGCTCCAGTCATTGAAGGCTGTGACCAACACCACACAGATGACTGAGAGCAAGATGGCGGCTCCCTCAATCCACCCTGCTTCTGCCTCTCCTTCATCCTCAGCCCCTCCCTGGGCTGTTGCACATCCTGCAGGCAGCAGAAGGAAGCAGGGAGTAGGGTCAGAACAGCGGAAGAGCCTCACTGCCTGGGTTTACAGCTCAGCTTTGCTGAGTGACAGACATTAATAACCCAGGGACAAGAGTCTATCCATTAGTAATAAAATCCAAGATGTGTAAATTTTGTTGTAAAAAAGAGAGGGAAAAAAAAAAAAAAGAAAAAGAGCTCTAACGGATATAACAGCAAGTGTGTTTGGGGGTGTTAAATAGCTGACTTTATCAATGTTTTTGGAACATTGAACACAGCTGTTTGCAGTCTCCCTGTTTGAATGTCCACCTTGTGTTCTTTGATACTGTGATTTGAGGAACTATTTTCAAGAAAATAGTGTGTAATCTACTAGCAGGTAATTTCTTACTGTTATGGTTTTTTGTTTTGTTTTGTTTTGTTTTGTAGTTCTGTATTGCATGTACCCTTACGCCGCTTTGGTTTGTTTTGTGTTTTTCTCTTTTTCCTCTTAAATTAAAAAAAAAAAAAAAAAAAAAAAAAAAGAGTCTATCCATTGAGCATGTCTGGGTGACAAGTTGTGGGCAAAGCACTTCACAGTAATCCATTCACTCTGCTCACTTCCCAGATGTGGAAGCCAAGGCTCTAAACTGAGCTCAAGTGACTTCCCCATACCTGGAAGGGTAGATAGGGAATGGTGAGATCTTGCCTTAATGCTGGGCCCATGGGGTAAAGAGAAAGAGACCCAGGAGGCGCATGCAGTCTGAGGTCCTCAGGTCTGATGGGGATACCACCCAAGCTGCTCTCTCCATCCCCACAGGGATCCTGAGAGGAGGAGGACCCTCCTCCCCACTTGTAGATGAAGAAACTGAAGCCCAGAGCAAGAAGGAGCTACAGTCAGCATGGGACCAGGACCAAATGGCTGTCTCCACAGCAAGTCCCTCTGTTACCCAGCCTCTGTTTACACCTTGGAGGACTCCGAGGGGGATCTCCCAGTGGGACCAGAAGAGGCCTGGGCAGTGTGCAACACCTACTGTGTGCCATGCATTCATTTTCATTCACAAACTGGCGGAGCAAGGGAAGAGAAGTGAATCAGAGAGAGGTGGTGAATCACTGGAGTCACACAGCAGAGCTGAGACTGGTCCTGGCTGCCTCACTGTCTGGGCAGTCACTGGGCCTCACTGGGCCTCACTGTCTCCCATGAAAGGCTGCCATGAACACACACGACTGAACACAACATCCAATTTGATCTTCAAACAGAGGACAGCACCTTCAAGTGACTCTAAGGCATTAAGGGTCAACAGAGTCACCGTCAGAAGCCCATGACAAAAAGGCCAACAGCTCCTGAGGAGTCTTTGCCAGCTCTCTGCTCTGGGGAGCAGGAGGCAAGCTGGTGGCTCTGAGCTTCGGAGGGGAAGGATTACTGTGGCCGGGAAGCAGGTGCCCTGCAAAGCCCCAGGCTCAGGCTCAGCAGCTGCTCCTTGGCCAATTAACAACATCATTTTGTGGGGTCTTGAAAGCCATGTTTTGGTCCTCTTGGGAGTTTTGGGCCATTCCAATAATTTTAAATAGTTTGGTTAGACCAGGTTTTGGTGGTAAGGATGGTTACAATCCTGCTAATGAGGACTGATACTAGGCTAGCCCCGAGTTTGAATCCTAGCTGCATTACTTAACTGCTGGGTAGCTCCAAGGGCTAGTAAAAAATATGGTGTGTATTTAAATTAAAAAATTTACAGCTGAGGCAGGAGGATCACTGCAAGTTCAAGGCTAGCCTGGGCTACAAAGACAGTTCAAGACCAGCCTGAAGCATATAGTGAAACCTTGCCTCAAAAAAGATCTGCTCCTCAAAATAAGTTGAACTCAAGCCAGGGATGGTGATGCACCTATAATACCAGCACTTGGGAAGCTGAGGCAGGAGGATCACTGCGAGTCTGGCAGCATTCTGGGCTACACAGTGAGTTCAAGGTCAGCCTGACGTGCATAGTGAGACTTTGCCTCAGAAAAAATTATTAGAGCAAAAGACACTTTACCAGGAATCCCCCTCTAAGTATTTCCCATCTAACGAGTGCCTCCCTTCTAACACACTTATAGTATCATTATGAAGCAGTTCTGGAAGCCTTGTTTCTTGAGTAGCTTTTTTTTTGGTGATGGTAGGGGGTAGTTTTTTAATACTTAAAAATATTTTATTTTTTTGACCGCATTGAGACATTTATAAATAAATGGACGCAGCTTGAGACCATACTCATAAGTGAAATAACTCAAACTCACATGTATAAATACCGAATAGTTTCTCTAGTGTAAGAAATGATAAGAATACATAGAAGTATGTGGTAATCATGATTCCCAATCATATTGGTTTGAAGCCATATAATGTTTTCACTCATTAACTGCAATGGTTTTAACCTGGGTTGTTCGATTTTAGTATCTATGATAGCATGAATAGCTATTTTGAAGAAAGCAACACAACATAAAAGCTAGTGCTGATTTAATATTGTCGTTTTGAAGTCCCATCAAGCTGTAGTACATCTGTTTCCACTGGTTTTAACATGTTGTATCTTACTATATTTCACTATATGCTATAGTATAAACAAAATTCTTTATAGGCAAAGAGATAATATAGAAACCATTGTTCGTTTTCTATTAGCAGGTTCTAAATACCCAGTAATTCTCGCATTCTCTTGAAAGGCTTCACACTGTCTAGAAATGCTTGATATTATAGTATGCGAAGTTACACTCAAATAATTCAAGGAAAGAGGCACTATGGCGACTACTATTATGTTAGATTATCTGGTGGTGAAACACAATGATGCTTGAATGCTCGGTTCTGCCCTGTGTTGTTCTATTACAATGTCCTCTCTTATCTCAATCTCCCCCCCCCTTTTTAAAATTAATCTATTTTCTCTCACTTTTTTAATTAAGGGAAAACTAAATTAAAAATAATGGGACATATTATAGTAACTTTTTTGTTGTCCTATTAACCTGACTTGAACCCCAGCATTGCTCTCCCTATCTTGTTCTGTCTGATTATTATATATTCTATTTTGTTTGATAGTATCAAGTTTGAGGGTATAGGCAATCACTTTGAAGGCAATAAGATATACTATGAGGCCCAATATGGATTGACTATTATCCTTTTTTTTTTTTTTGGTCTTTTTCCTTTTTATTGGTACCGGGGATCGAACTCATGACTGCCTGCTTGCAAGGCAGGCACTTATGCTGCTGAGCTAAATCCCCAGCCCCCTATTATCCTTTTTTTTTTGAAGTCCTGTAAGGTCCTCAGTGTAGGTTTATTGGTTTTGTTCTGTACTGTTTTGATCAATTCTATTATACCTAATGATACAGGCAACTCAATTTAAAAATAGCAAGAGGCACAATGGTAATCACTTTTGATCACCTGGTATTCTAGTTTTGCATCACGTGCTATGCCCACCCTTCTGTTCTAACTGACTCCGTTTTGCTTAGTCACGTTTGGTTTTATTCTCTTCAAAAAAGTAATAAGAACCGTGAGAGTAATAAAACCCTAAAAGTCTGATTGTTACTGTAAAAAAGAGAGGAAAGTAAGGTGGACTAAGGGATATAACTGCAGGTATGTTCGAGTGTGTAGGATGGAAAACCATATAACTGAGCTTTTATTGGATCATTGAATGGAACTGTCTCCGATTTCACTGTATGAATGTCCACTTTATATGCTTTAATTTAGTGATATGGACAACTGTTTCTGGGAAGATAATATGTAACCTGTTAACTGGTGATTTCGTACTGTATATATTTTTTTCTAGAAATACTGTATTATTTGTACCCTTTTCCTGCATTGTTTTTTTATGTCCTTTCTTTTTTTTCTTCTCTCTTTAAATAAAAAAAATTATTTTTTATTTTGCAGTACATGTGTTTACATTCATCTTAGGGCGTGAATGCGTGGACTTAACACAGCTTCCTTCTTTTTATGCCCCTTGGTTTCCCTTCCGCCCTCTAGATCCCATCTCTAGATCCCTTTCCCATTCTCAAAGGATCTAATTCCTTGATTCCTATTGTCTATCTTTTGTTTTATTTTATTTAATTTTAATTTTTTTATTTTAAAGAGATTAAGACAAAAGAGGACGTAACAAAGCAGATCAGATCAGAACAATGCAAGCAACACAGCACTTCACCACAAGACAACCCATAATTAACAGTAACTACCATAGTGTCTCTTTCTTTGAAACAGTTGAGCATGGCTTCATATACGATAGTATCAAGATAACAAAACAGTATAAAACCATTCAAGAGAATAAAAGCATTAAGGGCTTTAAAGAACCAAATAGCAGAGAACGAACAATGGCTACTATATTATCTCATTTTCCATAGAAAATTTGTTTATATTATCACACATAATATCCAACAAGATATAACAGGATAGAATCAAAGGCATCAGAAAAACAAAAGTATAGTAGGACTTCAGAGTAAGATGATACAAATCAGCTCTGACTACTCTAATGTTTTCTTTAAAATAGCTGTTTATACTATCACAGATAATAAAATCGAACAAAGTAGGCTAAAACCATTCCAACTAATGAATGCAGACATTATAAGGCTTCAGAGCAATGTAATGGTGAATCATGATTACTATAAACTCTTATCTACTCTTACCACTTCTTACACTAGGGAGACTATTCGGTATTTATACATGTGAGTTAGATTTTTTTTGCTAATGAATATGGTCTCAAGTTGTGTCCATTTATTTATAAATATCTCAATGTGATCATTCTTTATAACTGAGTAGTACTCCATTGTATAAAAATACCACAGCTTTTTTATCCATTCCTCAGTTGATGGACCCTTAGGTTGTTTCCAAGATCTGGCTATTACAAATTGTGCTGCTATAAACATGGGTGCACATATATCACTGTGGTATGATGTTTTCAGCTCTTCTGGGAATATGCCTAGAAGTGGAATAGCTGGGTCAAATGGGGCTTCCAATCCCAGCTTTCTGAGGAATCTCCAGACTGACCTTCACAAAGGTTGTACCAGTCTACACTCCCACCAACAGT